GCTGGTCAGCCCTGGCTCATACTTCTTCCTTTCCAACAGCTGTGGTCAGGGAGAGGAGTGGCTCAAGACCCTCAACAAGGGTGTCTGGATACCCTTTACAGGTAACTTCACTACAACACTAATACTACACTACTACTACACTAATACTCCACTACTACTAATACCACACTGCGACAACACTACTACTACTACTATAACAATACTAATACTACACTACTACAACACTAATACTACACTACTACAACAATACTACAACACTAATACTCCACTACTACTAATACCACACTGCGACAACACTACTACTACTACTATAACAATACTACTACTACACTACTACAACACTAATACTACACTGATACTACAACACTAACACTACTACTACACTACTACAACACTACTACAACACTACTACACACTCATTAGCCTACATAACTCAAATGCATACACTTGACGCTCTCATTGGAAATGGTCGACCAGCTGGATTTGAAAACTCAGGTTTGGTTTGCCAGAAATAGAACATGTGCTCTCCAGCAAGATACATTTTACATTTACATTTTAGTCATTTAGCAGACGCTCTTATCCAGAGCGACTTACAGTTAGTGAGTGCATACATTATTTTTATTTATTTTTCATACTGACCCCCCGTGGGAATCGAACCCACAACCCTGGCGTTGCAAACGCCATGCTCTACCAACTGAGCTACATCCCTGCCGGCCATTCCCTACAAACAATCAATTCACTGTCTACTATATAATGTGGTCAGGTAACACTGTCTAATGCATTTTAGTTCAACAGACTTCCTGAACTGACCAGAGTCTGACTCCTCCAGTCAGCCCTTTGTGTGTGTGCATATGTCAGCCTCAGCATCTCTGCCCTCTTCCCCCTTGGTGGGCACAGCTGTGTGTCTGCCTTGTAGTTACCCAGAGAGGGGCCAGGTCCCCTTCAAGCCCCATCAGCCTCAAGGTCCAGGGACGGGACATAGGGGGGCTCCACCTAGAGGTCGGAAAATAGAGCACAGGAACACAGAAGGAGTACATGCACACACACACACACACACACACACACACACACACACACACACACATCACAGGTTAAGCTGAGCTAGCCCATGTTACGTGCAGGCCTAACGCTGTATTTCCTTGTGTGATGAAATATTGATCCTTACCCAGACCTGAGGAGTAATGACATTGTAATCCTGTAATATATGAGCATCAGGCCGCCACAGAGGGAAATCACTGGGTCAAAATACACTCTGAGCCTATGAAGACTTTACTGTCTTAAATGTCCTTAGACTACATGTGTTGTGTGCCTGCCATATAAATCTGACCCCTGAGCCTGGTCAACACCCAGCAACACATTTTACAAGAGAGATTAACATTCACATTGGATTCCTCGCACCGCCCCGGAGCAGTTAGTCGCTCCATCCCTGAGCCTCCCTGTGACACACACGTCCTCCACACAACCACCTAATTAACATCTTTCTAATGTCCAGCAAGAGAGCAAAGAGCTGGGGCTGGGGCTGGGGCTGGGGCTGCATGGGGCTTATCAGGGGCCAGCGTCGCCCCATAGAGGCTTGGACTACAAGGGGAGTGGGGTAGTTCATAAGGGCTCAGTGGAAAGTTATTTTGAGGGGGCTGGCAGCCTGCAGGCAAAGTAGTATGCTAGGACAGAGGGGAGTGGGGGGACAGAAAGATTATAACTCATTTATTTTTAGTCAATCTCTGACACTGTTCTCCCTTGTTAATGATTCCCGGGTGGGGAGAGATAGGAGCGATAGAGGGATGATTCCCGACGATGCTCCTGTGCTTCTGATAGCATTGAGGAGTACACCACATCAGTCACTGGCTTCATCAATAACTGCATCGATGACGTCGTCCCCACAGTGACCATACGTACATACCCCAACCAGAAGCCATGGATTACAGGCAACATCCGCACTGAGCTAAAGGGTAGAGCTGCCGCTTTCAAGGAGTGGGACTCTAACCCGGACGCTTATAAGAAATCCCGCTATGCCCTCCGACGAACCATCAAACAGGCAAAGAGTCAATACAGGACTTAGATGGAATCGTACTACACCGGCTCTGACGCTCGTCGGATGTGGCAGGGCTTGAAAACTATTACAGACTACAAAGGGAAGCACAGCCGCGAGCTGCCCAGTGACACAAGACTTCCAGACGAGCTAAACCACTTCTATGCTCGCTTTGAGGCAAGCAACACTGAAGCATACATGAGAGCACCAGCTATTCCGGATGACTATCTGATCACGCTCTCCGTAGCCAATGTGAGTAAGACTTTTAAGCAGGTCAACATTCACAAGGCCGCAGAGCCAGACGGATTACCAGGACGTGTACTCCGAGCATGTGCTGACCAACTGGCAAGTGTCTTCACTGACATTTTCAACATGTCCCTGACTGAGTCTGTAATACCAACATGTTTCAAGCAGACTACCATAGTCCCCGTGCCCAAGGACACTAAGATAACCTGCCTAAATGACTACCGACCCGTAGCACTGACGTCTGTAGCCATGAAGTGCTTTGAAAGGCTGGTCATCGCTCACATCAACACCATTATCCCAGAAACCCTAGACCCACTCCAATTTGCATACCACCCCAACAGATCCATAGATTATGCAATCTCTATTGCACTCCACACTGCCCTTTCCCACCTGGACAAGAGGATCACCTACGTGAGAATGCTATTAATTGACTACAGCTCAGCATTCAACACCATAGTGCCCTCAAAGCTCATCACTAAGCTAAGGATCCTGGGACTAAACACCTCCCTCTGCAACTGGATCCTGGACTTCCTGACGGGCCGCCCTCAGGTGGTAAGGGTAGGTAACAACACATCTGCCACACTGATCCTCAACACGGGGGCTCCTCAGGGGTGCGTGCTCAGTCCCCTCCTGTACTCCCTGTTCACCCATGACCGCATGGCCAGGCACGACTCCAACACCATCACTAATGTACTATCATGGTCCAAACACACCAAGACAGTCGTGAAGAGGGCACGACAAAGCCTATTCCCCCTCAGGAGACTGAAAAGATTTGGCATGGGTCCTCAGATCCTCAAAAAATTATACAGCTGCACCATCGAGAGCATCCTGACTGGTTGCATCACTGCCTGGTATGGCAACTGCTCGGCCTCCGACCGCAAGGCACTACAGAGGGTAGTGTGTACGGCCCAGTACATCACTGGGGCCAAGCTTCCTGCCATCCAGGTCCTCTATACCAGGCGGTGTCAGAGGAAGGCCGGGGAGGGGGCTGAGCCAGGCTAAATAAAAGAGAAAGAGTCAAAGACAAAACACTGTGTATATTGTACTTGGTGGGACTGTGGGGGTCGTTGAAGGAACACTGAAGACCTGAGGGAACAAACAATCTAATTGGTGAAAAAGAAAGCATCTCAAGGGGGGACTGAGAGTGTATTGGAGAGGGAGTGAGGGAGGGAGGGAGGGAGGGAGGGAGGGAGGGAGGGAGGGAGGGAGGGAGTGAGGGAGGTACGGCTGAGGGAAAACAACGGCTCATTCCTGAAGCATGTGGAAGAATGGATAGGACAAGGAGGGAGAGAGACGTGCAGCAAGGCCACAGCTCACTCCTCCGGACAAACCAAGTAGTGCTAAACACAATTACTGCTGGACAACGTAGGAACACTGACTTCATCTCCTCTGGGAAGGAATGGAGGGAATAATATACTCCCTGTCACAGTCATCACTACTATAATAACACGGACACCTTCTTCTAGGAGAGCTGGCCGCTCAGTGAATTATTTTGTCAACACAATCCAGCCTGAAAGTGGTTCCTCTGGATTTTCAATGCTCATCAGATTGAGTTTTGCTTAGCAGCGTAAATGGACTTGAGTCCTGGGAACCAAGGCTGAGGTGAGCGTGAGAGGAGCCGAGCCGCAAGTGCCCCCCTCGATACTCTCTATCTGGCTTTAGCAATAGCGTGTGGAGGAACTTTTCTGACATTCCAATGTTCAGCGGTGATAAAGAAAAGGATCAGTTTTATCAGTAGAACATTTAGTATTGCTGGACTCTCAGATCTCCTGTCAAATCATTTTACTTAGGAATCTGAAGAGGAGACCTTAGCCACCAAAAATGAAGAGATTTTACTTTCCAAAGATGAACATTCCATATTACATTTTGACATGGTTCATATTCCTGTGGCTGTTCTATTCATTGGGATGTTTGCTCCATTCTATGCCTCAGTGATTGTGAGTTTTTGATGTGTCCGGCACTTTACAATGCTTCTTCTTGTAGAATGAAATTATTTCCATTGGAATGCTCATTCATCTGATTAGGTCACATAGTTGAGCTCAGGGAACACTGTTGAGCACTGACAAGGAAAGTCTGCCCCCTCATTTCTTGAGTCATCAGAGCAAGAAGCCTTATCTGTTTACCTAAAGAGAGAAAGAGGAGGGGGGGAGAGGAGGAGGGAGAGAGAGAAGAGACATAACACAGAATACCAGCCAGGAGAGAGTTTACAAAACAAAACGAGGTAGATAGAAGTAGGCGAGGACACTCAGCTGTGGGACGCCGCTTGGGAAAGTACGCACTGGTCTCTGCAGCGCCGAGCTGTCACAAGCCATCTGGATCCTCTCATAATCCCCCATCAAACAGACCGACTGGCCAGAAAGGAGAGAGAGGAGGAAAAGAGGGGAAAAGGAGAGAGAGAAGAGATCTGGATGGAGAGAGAGAGAGATCTGGGCGGAGAGAGAGCGAGATCTGGACGGAGTGAGAGGGAGATCTGGACGGAGTGAGAGGGAGATCTGGGCGGAGAGAGAGCGAGATCTGGGCGGAGAGAAAGCGAGATCTGGACGGAGTGAGAGAGAGATCTGGGTGGAGAGAGAGCGAGATCTAGACGGAGAGAGAGAGAGATCTGGGCGGAGAGAGAGATCTAGACGGAGAGAGAGAGATCGGACGAGGAGAGAGAGCGAGATCTTGGACGGAGAGAGAGCGAGATCTGGACGGAGAGAGAATAAGTGTGAAGAGAATAGAGAAGATGCCGGAGAACAAGGCGACAGTGTGCAGAACCAGCAGCTACCTGTCCCACTCTGCCTACAGGAAGATCAAGCGGGTTCTGAGCTTCAGGAGGCGTGAGTATCTCAGACCCACAAAGAGACACACACAGAGCTGCAGTGTGAGGCAGGCTGCGTAGATAGGGGGTTTGGGGGTATGGAGGGTCTGAGGAAAGGAAAGAAAAGCCCTGAACCATCAAACTCACACTCTATAATCATCTGTTTATTAATTTAGCCTGGGTGACCTTAAATCTACTCTCTCATCGTCTCTCGTGCATCGCTCTAGGGCTCTCTCGTCTATCTCTCTCTGCTATCTCATCTGTCTCCTCTCTCTCTCTCTCTCTCTCTCCTCTCTCTCTCTCTCTCTCTCTCTCTCTCTCTCTCTCTCTCTCTCTCTCTCTCTCTCTCTCTCTCTCTCTGTCCTCTCTCTCATCTCTCTCTCTCTGTCCTCTCTCTCTCTCCTCAATTTCTCTCTCAGGCGTGTTTGGCCAGCGGCTGGAGGAGACGGTTCTGTATGAGCGGCGTTACGGGGTCCACATGGCACCCCTGGTGGTGGAGCAGTGTGTGGACTTCATCCGGGAGCGGGGTCTTCTGGAGGTGGGGCTGTTCCGCCAGCCCGGCCAGGCCACGCTGGTTAAAGAGTTGCAGGACGCCTTTGATGCTGGGGAGAAGCCCTCCTTTGACAGGTAAGAGCTCTCCAGTCAACACAAACAGATTCTGCTTGATGGCAAACACTGCAGTTCCCAAACAAACAGATCAAGTTCATGAAGTTAGACCTATGCTCCAGCTATATCTGTATGTACCATTATATGTAGTTGCGCACCCACATACACTGGTTGTGCTGTATTTTAAGTGTATGTGTGTGTGTTTGTCATCCTAGCAGTACAGACGTGCACACCGTGGCGTCTCTCCTGAAGCTGTATCTGCGGGAGCTTCCAGAGCCACTGGTGCCCTTCTCCAGATACCAGGACTTCCTGATGTGTGGCAAGAAGATCTCCTCGGAGAGGAAGCAGGTAAGTCTCCATCCAGTTGCATCACGCAGGCCATGCTGAGATGCATCTGATAAACAGATGAAGACAGAACACAACCGCCAACCGCTGATCTAAAAGTCCTAGGGAGAAATCGAATTGATAAGCTCCACCGCTGGTTTATATTGTGATAGGAGCAGCGTGACTTACAACAATATGTTCGCCTGTATCCCCAAGAGTTTGATAGAACTACGGCATCTTCTTCATCAACTTCCAGTGGCTAACTTCAACCTGCTCAACTACATCTGCCAGTAAGTCTACCATTTACCTGTAATTAATGAGCAATTATCACAAATCAAGATAACGTCAAATCTGCATACAACATGCCTCACTATTAATGCATTTCCAAAGCAATTAATGGAAATTGATTGAATCACTATAGCAGGGTTCCCCAACTGGCTGCCCACGGGTGATTTTATTTGGCCCCTCAAGTTTTCTGAGCAAATATAACATTTTTATTTTATTTTGGAAATCTGTTCCAAAGCATTCCCAAGCATAATAGAGAGATATATGTGATCACATACAAATGTCAGCAAGGTTTGAAATGATTATATTTTAGTCAAATATTATATCTGTTTGGGTTTCTTGCGGTCAATTTGCAGTCTACAAATTATTTGTAATTATGTTCCGGCCCCCTGACCATCTAGCTCGAGAAGAATCGGCCCGCAGTTGGATCTAGTTGATGATTCGTGCACTATAGAGTCGTTCTATGTCATTTCAGCAAGCCATGACACCCACCATCTCAGATTGTTCTGAAATCATTTCTGTAGTTAGAAACAGATAAGATTTGCATTCCTGCAACATTATTTTGTTGAAATATAATTCTCTGAGAAATAAAAGCTAATTGATTGCACCCAAATTGGCCATTTTAAGTTATAGGACTAATATAATATTCAATATAGTACCCAACATCTGATTTGGACCAAACATGAAGGAATCCAAAGAAATGGTCAAAAGCCACCCACGGACCCCCTAAACCCCATGCCAATCCTATCCTTACATCAAGTATACAGTATCAGTTCTCTACGTCTGACAAGTAGTATTGTTTCTTCATCCTATGTAATATATTCTCAGTGAATTTGGTGATGTTTTTTTCCCCCATGTTCAGAGTCATTGAAGTTGTCAGGTTTATGTCCCATCCTACATCCTGATATTACCTGGTTATGTCCACTAGATGGTGCTGTTCCTACTATTACTTTTTATGTATTTTTAAGAATCTCCCCCTCAATGTTAAAGGGATAGTTCACCCAAATTACCAAATTACATTTGGGTTTCCTTACCCTGTAAGCAGTCTATGGTATGACAGCAACCCATGCTTTGGTTTTGTTTACCTGGCCACTGTTTCAAATGCTAACTTTTTTTTGCATTTGTGGCAGAAATCCAATGCAAATCAATGGTACCTATATTAGCATTTTCACGCTTCATATCCATATAATCTATAAGTAATATCATTGAGTTACACATGAAGCGTGGCTTTTGACCATTTATTTGGATTCCTCATTTCTAACTCATTGTTTACAAAAAGTTGGTCCAAATCAGATGTTAGGTACTATATTTATTGAATATTATATGAATCCTATTAATTAAAATGACCAATTAAAATGACCAATTTGGGTGAAATCAATTAGCTTAATTTCTCAGAGATCAAATAATATATTTTTTAAATCATGTTGCAAAAATGCTAATGTTATCTGTTTCTAACAACAGAAACAATTTCAGAACAATCTGAGATGGTGGGTGTCGAAATCCCCGTTCTTGGGATTTCTGAGGTGGAATGACCCTATAGACTTGGCCTGTGGTCCAGTCACAGTAGCCTACAACATATGCCATACAGCAATATCTGTTCAACCATGACACATTTCTGTATGCTATGTAGCAGATGTGACAAAATCGACCCTGCCCAAGTCTCACACAGATAAATCACTGCCAATGCAGGTTTTTGAACGAAGTCCAGTCCTATTCCAGCAGCAACAAGATGAGCATCCAGAACCTGGCGACTGTTTTCGGGCCAAACATCCTACGACCCAAAGCTGAAGATCCAGAGAGTATCATTGGAGGTGTGTGAGAGTCAGAGGAGGCTGGTGGGAGGAGCTACAGGAGGACAGGCTCATTGTAATGGCTGGAATGGAAGTAAAGGAACAGAGTCAAACGTAGTTTCCATTTATTTGATACCGTTCCATTTATTCCATTCCAGCCATTACAATGAGCCTGTCCTCCTATAGCTCCTCCCACCAGCCTCCACTGGTGAGAGTGTTATTCAGAGAAAGAGACATGGATCAGAGCTAGACAGAACTAGCCTACAGATACAGAGCCAGTGAAGACAGACAGAGACAGATATAGGCAGATAAAGATAGTGTCTGTCTGCCCGTGTGTCCTTGAGACAGTGTTTATATCAACATATTGTTGTGTATGTAACACGCTACGTGTCATGTGATGCTGTCTGTACTGTATGTGTCCAGCTGTGACTCAGTGTGTGTCTGTCTGTCTGTCCCCCAGGGGCAGCCATGGTGCAGCAGCTTATGTCTGAGCTGATCAGGGAGAACCAGTGCCTTTTCTCCAGGGAGGGGGGAGACATAGAGGCCCCTGGCTCCTCACGTCCTGACTCTTACCCATGTCAGAGATGGAAAGGAGACCCATTCGAGGGGCCGCACACCCAGCCCACTGCCCAGGCCCAGTGGCATGACTCCAGCCTGGGCATAACAGCCGAGCACCTCCCCCAACAACAGCAAGCTCACCATCCTTCCCCTTGCTCCCGCCAGGTCTCCCTGCCTCTGATCGCTGAGAGGAGAGGGTCGGCCCAAAACCCGCATGAAACCAGCTTAGCCGCACGGCTGTCCAACACAGACCACCAGCGGCAACCAGCTGAGGTGTTCTCTCCAGTGAGTCCTGTTTCAGGGCCTCTGTACCACAGATACACACCGTCCCAGCTAGAGTCCCAGCCCCCTGAGACAGCAGACAGCCCCCACCCTGCCTCCCAACTCACAGCCTCTGCCTCCACAGTGACACTACATGCTGCCCCAGAACCCAGCAGCATGCTGCACAGTGGCTGGATGGGCCCAGAGGATCCTAGCTGGGCTGCAGAGCAGGGGACCACTGGCACCAGTGGTAGCAGTGAGGCTCAGGACAGTACTCTTTCTGTCTATGACAACCTGGACACACTCCAACGCATGGAGGAGATGGCTGCGGATGGTGGTGGGGGCAGCCCTGCTGGCCCAGTGGAGGTGGAGGTGGGCATGGCCAGCGTGGTAGACACCAGAAGCTCGTGGTCTTCCTGTGAGATTCTGCCCCTGGATGACAGTGGGAGTGGTGTGGTCAGAGCCAGCCCAGGACGGGGGTCCACCAGGTTCCCCTCCTTCAGGACCGACCCAGGAGACGAGGACCTCCATCCTAACTCCCCAGCCTCCTCCTCTGCCCCCACCGATGCCCCCCTGAGCACGGGCAGCTCGGAGGTCTTCCTGCCCTCTGCTCCCCCGGACCTCCACGCACCCCCAGCCTCCCAGGCCATGCACTGGCTCCTGGCTGGCCTCAAACAGATGGCCAGGCAGAGGGCTGAATTTGAGGCCAAGATCCAGAGGTAATAGAACTGTGAATAAACCATGCCAATGCAACAGCAGTCCTTGTCAACAGTCTATATACATGCTACACTGAGTGTACAAAACATTAGGAACACCTGCTCTTTCCATTACACAGACTGACCAGGTGAATCCAGGTGAAAGCTGTGATCCCTTATTGATGTCACTTGTTAAATCCACTTCAATCAGTGTAGATGAAGGGGAGGAGACAGGTTAAAGAAGGATTTTTAAACCTTGAGACAATTGAGACATTGATTGTGTATGTGTGCCATTCAGAGGGTGAATGGGTAAGACAAAAGATTGAAGTGCCTTTGAACGAGGTATGGTAATAGGTGCAAGGCGCACCGGTTTGAGTATGTCAAGAACTTCAACGCTGCTGAGTTTTCACGCTCAACCGTTTCCCGTGTGTATCAAAAATGGTCCACCACCATTCAAAGGACATCCAGCCAACTTGACACAACTGTGGGAAGTATTGGAGTCAACATGGGCCAGCATCCCTTGTGAAACGCTTTCGACACCATATAGAGTACATGCCCCGACGAATTGAGGCTGTTCTGATGGCAAAAGGGGGTGCAACTCAATATTAGGAAGGTGTTCCTAATGTTTTGTACCCTCAGTAGAGTCTATATAGAGTCTTCAACATGTGTCAGGTTACAATAACATGATATTAGGCCTACATGTTACATGATACACCACAGTCCTGTAGTAACAGCAGAGTGAAAGCTGTGTGTGTGTGTGTGTGTGTAACTCCCTGTCCTTCTCTGTCCTGTCTCTCCCAGGTTGGAGAGGCGTAACGAGGCCCTCCAGGGGGAGGTGGTGGGACTGCGGACCAGCCTGGAGCAGCAGCGCCGCTGGTACAGCGTGGCCGAGATCAAGATCCGCAACGTGGAGCGTGCCCGGGCCGACGCAGACCGCCGCAACGCCACTCTACAGAGGGAGATGGAGCAGTTCTTTGACACCTTCGGAGAGCTGAGCGCTGAGGCCCTGAAGAGCGAGGGTTAGGGTTAGCACCTTCGGAGAGCTGAGCACTGAGGCCCAGAAGAGCGAAGGTTAGGGTTAGCACCTTCGGAGAGCTGAGCGCTAAAGACAGGAAGAGCAAGCACATTTTACAGAGCTTCTGATGGCCAGTCAGATTAGAGAAAGATGACACTAACAGAGCACTAAAACAGCAGTATCAGGAGCAAACACCATCCATCTGAATGGAAAATAGAGAGAACTGTCTGTCGCCATGATTAATCCATATTGGATTTGTCTCATAATGAGTAGTACATGTTTGAGGATGGTTCTAAGAAAGCTTTGCGATGGAACCAGCTGGGATGGACAGCTCTGCTCTGATGCCTTGGGCATTGTTCAACCAGACATATTGACAACCAGACCAGACCAGAACAGAATGAGGTGGACTGGAGACGATGGAGACAGATGAGAAACACAAGCTACTGAGCTCACTAAATGTTTCTATGACTGAAATGAGCCCTATAATATACAGAATCAAAGCTTGGAGACTTAATGTATGGCTGGCAGCTGGCCTGACCGTTGGGATAACAGACAGGCCCAGACCCAGCCAGTCTGTCCTGAGCCACACAGGAAAAGTTCTGAAAGAGATCTGGGAAGTAACATAACAGTCCCATAGAATCTGACCCTATGAGATCCGGAGTACTGCTGGTTTTCAGTTCTACCTGATAATGAATTAGACCCACCTGGTGTCCCAGGTCTAAATATGTCCCTGCTTAGAAGGGAAGAGTGGGGTAAAAAGCATTGGAACTGGCTTCAAGGTCCAGATTTGAATGTGAAGCCCAAAGAAGGTGTTGAAACGCAGAGAAGATGTACTATTCCCAGTCTGTGACAAGATCCCACATCCATTTAGACACCGTGTGAAAGCTGATCTTAAATAGGATTTGATTTAGTGCTTCCAAGTATTGAGGTCATGTTCTGAGTTTGTCTATGGGGGTGTCTAAGGACAGACTCATATTACTGATGCAGGTATTTCACACCGTTATAAATATGAAGGATTATAATGTGGGACCCATCTGAACACTATTTCACCTCGTTATGACAGCGCGGTGTGAGTAACAGCTTTTAACAGTACACGACTTAAAAATACAATGTAGCTTTTCCACGAAACCAATATGTATAGCGCAATATTAATGTTCTGAATTCTCATTATAAAACATACTTTTACTAAATAATTTAGCAGAGGAACGTGCGCGCACACGCACAGAAACACGCACGCACGCAAACACACACCCACACACACTTGTATGAAATAAAATAACCAAAGACTTAAGCAATAGATCCTGTCTACTGTTCAAGCATTTTATTTAGCAGAATTAATTTTGTCCTCCTTTGATGTCAAATGATAATCATCTCTTGAGTTTTTGCATATTTTTCAGACAGGATGAATATTGTCGAACATATTAAAGGTGCTACACATAGGATTTATTTTTGCATTTTTGCATTGTAATTTCAGAAAAATGTCCATAATATATCCGGCACTAGTGGAATGATGGTGTTTCACAATATTACTGACCCGCCAGTGTTTTGATTGGCTGTGATATTCGCCTATTGATTTCTCCTGCTGGAGCGGCATCTGTTTTCAAACTGGGAAAACTGTTCTGACTTTGTGGCTGGGTTATCTAGTGGAACTAGCTCTGTCATTTTCTAGTTGCTAAAATTCTACACTGTTCGCTCAATTTCAGTTTATGTGAGAAAACAAGCACTGAACAGTGTATGGATCATTGTACCATCAAAATCACTGTGAAATATATTTTCAATAACAAAAAATATCATTTTTACAGCTGTTTGAAGCTGGTGGACCAAAACATAAGCTACTTTTGGTTTTGGTCCAAAGGTTTTGGTCACTATTCAGTGCTTGTTTTTTCACATCAACTTAAATTGAGCGAACAGTGTAGAATTTTCGCAACGAGCGAGTTCCACTAGATAACCCAGCCACAAAGTCAGAACAGTTTTCCCAGTTTGACAACAGATGCCGCTCCAGCAGGAGAAATCAATAAGGGCGAATATCACAGCCAATCACAACACTGGCGGGTAAGTAATACTGTGAAACACCATCATTCCACTATTACCGCCAGATATATTATAGACATTTTCTGAAATTACAATGCAAAAAATGTAGGAAAAAAATCCTATGTGTAGCAACTTTAAGGAGTCATCAGAGTGATGCATCTCTGAATAAGACCACCGGTAGACGCCCATACATGGCATTGCACAGCAGAGAACACACAAGCAGTACAGACAGGCCCATCTAACATATTCTACCTAGAGTTTATAGCCCTGACTATGTATCTATGTATTGAAAAAATGTATTAAACAAGTTTGATTGCGTTAAACAGCAAACCAGACAAAGTGTCTGTATTGATTGTTTGATAACAAAATGAGCGATAAAGATAAAGACATAAGGTAACATAGACCAGATCAGTATGACTGGGACATAGACCAGATCAGTATGACTGGGACATAGACCAGATCAGTATGACTGGGACATAGACCAGATCAGTATGACTGGGACATAGACCAGATCAGTATGACTGGGACATAGACCAGATCAGTATGACTGGGACATAGACCAGATCAGTATGACTGGGACATAGACCAGATCAGTATGACTGGGACATAGACCAGATCAGTATGACTGGGACATAGACCAGATCAGTATGACTGGGACATAGACCAGATCAGTATGACTGGGACATAGACCAGATCAGTATGACTGGGACATAGACCAGATCAGTATGACTGGGACATAGACCAGATCAGTATGACTGGGGACATAGACCAGATCAGTATGACTGGGACATAGACCAGATCAGTATGACTGGGACATAGACCAGATCAGTATGACTGGGACATAGACCAGATCAGTATGACTGGGACATAGACCAGATCAGTATGACTGGGACATAGACCAGATCGGTGTGACTGGGACATAGACCAGATCAGTATGACTGGGACATAGACCAGATCAGTATGACTGGGACATAGACCAGATCAGTGTGACTGGGACATAGACCAGATCAGTGTGACTGGGACATAGACCAGATCAGTATGACTGGGACATAGACCAGATCAGTATGACTGGGACATAGACCAGATCAGTATGACTGGGACATAGACCAGATCAGTGTGACTGGGACATAGACCAGATCAGTATGACTGGGACATAGACCAGATCAGTATGACTGGGACATAGACCAGATCAGTATGACTGGGACATAGACCAGATCAGTATGACTGAGACATAGACCAGATCAGTATGACTGGGACATAGACCAGTAGGGTTTGGTCAGTATGACTGGGACATAGACCAGTAGGGTTTGGTCAGTATGACTGGGACATAGACCAGTAGGGTTTGGTCAGTATGACTGGGACATAGACCAGTAGGGTTTGGTCAGTATGACTGGGACATAGACCAGTAGGGTTTGGTCAGTATGACTGGGACATAGACCAGTAGGGTTTGGTCAGTATGACTGGGACATAGACCAGTAGGGTTTGGTCAGTATGACTGGGACATAGACCAGTAGGGTTTGGTCAGTATGACTGGGACATAGACCAGTAGGGTTTGGTCAGTATGACTGGGACATAGACCAGTAGGGTTTGGTCAGTATGACTGGGACATAGACCAGTAGGGTTTGGTCAGTATGACTGGGACCAGTGGACTGTAAACACAGTAAACACAGTTTACCCACCTTTTGCGGAAAAATGCATTGAAAGGGAGCATTACTTTTTTCACCGCGGCCGGCGATCAGAGTTTCAGATTTTCAGCCTTGTAGATAGTACACTAGATAGATAGTACACTGCACAAACCACAGAGACACACAACCCCACTCAATGTCCCTCACACATTAGATTCACTCACTGAAAAACAATAACACAGAGAAAAAAGCCCTTCGGAGGTTGGGAGGCATTGTTGTGTGCTCCATGGCGTTTATCTAGATATCTTTCTCAGATTGTTTTATTGAAAAAAAAAAAACCAACCTGTTTTCGCTTTGTCATTATGGGGTACTGTGTGTAGATTGATGAGGAAAAAATGGTATTTCATCCATTTTAGAATAAGGCTGTAACGTAACAACATTTTGAAAAAGTGAAGGGGTCTGAATACTTTCCAAATGCACTGTATCTTTCTCAGGGCTACTGTGAACACTGCTCCAGTCCAGTCTGTCCCCAGCAGGCCTGAGGCAAAGACATCAGCATGGATCTGTCGGTCCAATTCTCTCTGGTCAAATAAGAAAAGCCAACAGGGTCAAATAAGAGAGGAGTAAAACAGACAGAGTAGACAGTGTGCTTTACTATTCAGAGAGGAGAAGCACCTTCAGACAGTTATCCTCCTTCTTTACTTTACTATTGGATGAAAAAGCAGAATAAACTTAAAGGCCAATATGGTTGAATCTGAGTTTGTTCTGAAACGGCACACAAAAGAACAGGACAGGTAGACGGGCATAAAACCAACAAATCAACAGCAGTCACTCAAAGTAAAACACTGATCGCTGCACCTTAGTTGTGAAGATGAAGTTCATGACACGCAGGGTGGATTGCTTAAGGCAAGATGAGTACATATTGAGTAAGGTCGGATGGTTTCCCGTAAATCTGCCCCCAGCAGAGTTCCACTGTGAACACCGCTCCAGTCCAGTTTGTCCCCAGCAGATCTGTCAGTCAGGTACAAGGCTCTTTCTCAGGACATCAAGGTCCAGAATTATCAAGATTCCCAAGTCAATGTGGGTCTTGCCAGTGTTGATTTTCAAGTCCCAAGGACCATGTCCACTGTACTCTCAAAAAAATACATGACGTACTGTATCAGCCGAGGAGCGTTGCTCTGAGTTACACACACATGTTCAGTTAATGGTCCAGCACTGAGAGTGCTCTGGACACCAGTAATGGGGTGGGAAAAAAAACAAAATGAAAGAAAGCTACCTATCAGTGGTGAGACCTGTCTTTGGTTTTTCCCCTTGAACATTTCTCCTGTCACCACACTGAGGTTCGACAGAGGT